CCCCAAAACCCCAAAACCCCAAAACCCCACAGTTGTAAATTTTATAAGCAAGGTTTGATAAATATAAATTAAATAAATAATAATTCATAGTTATACAGAATGCCCACTAAAGCGCCTTTGAAAGTTGGAAAAAAGGTACAACCGATTACCACCATTTAACTCATTTACAGAAAGTAAAGCTTGCTGATAAGAAGAAAAGAGCTATTGTTGAGGAGCAAGAGAGTGAGAACTTAGAGGATGATGCTGATCTCCTCAACATGGATCAAAACAATGCAATGGGAGGCATTGATTAGGAACAACTGACAGCTGAAGAGAAGGAAGATCAAGTCATTAAAACTTTGAACTCCAATAATCCACAAGCCCCACATAATTTGACCAAGTTTTCATATAAGGATCGTATGTTTAAAACTGATGATATGGTTGAACAAATGGTCTTCCATTTCCAATTCGATGGAGATATTATTCTCAAGGATAGTGATGAAGCTCACGATCAAGAGGAGTTCTGGGACAATAAAAAGAGAACTAATCAAGGTCTCTTAGATAAGATTAATGTTGCCATTAAGGAGGAGTTCGGAAAGGATCCATGTAAGTTTCTATTGCAAGTCAATATCTCATTTATAAACTACCATATTTTAGATGTTTTGAATTAATTTAAATTTTATAGTGGAGGGTAATGAAAAAGCTCAAAAGAAATCATTGAGAAATTAGTTCAACTTCTAGGAGAGAGCTGCTTAAACCTTCAATCTACCTTTGAGAGAGAAGGGTATTAAGACAGACCCCCCTCAATGTTCAGTTTTCTCACTTGAGACAACTCAGTGGATGATTTTCGATGCTTACTTGACTAATTGGGAGGAAATCCAAAGAGCTGTAAGTTTCATCTCCTACCTTTTGCAAATTATATTTATCACGATCTTTGATAACAGAAAATAATTCATGATTTTTATAGGATTTTGAGGAGCAATAAAAGGGTAAATCAAAGGATAAGAAGCCAGTATAACAATAGCAACAACATGCTGAGGACCCACTTTATAGTACTTCAATGAAGAGAGCCCTTAAGATCATGGAGAGAATGATTGTTCAAAACGCTGACGAAGAGAAGTTTGAGGACTATAAGTATTATGAGGATACCACTGAGGACCCTGAAAGCCACAACTATGGTTCAGTTTTGCCACTTTGGCGTTTCTCTACAGAGAAGAGTAGAAGAAAGCATGTCACCTCTATCTGCTGGAATCCAAGATACAAGGATATCTTCGCAGTTGGCTATGGTTCATATGACTTTTTGAAATAAAATACTGGTTTGATATGCTGTTACACAATTAAGAATCCCACATGGCCTGAGTACTCTTACACTACTGAGTCTGGAGTTATGTGCCTCGACTACCATCCTAAATATCCAGCATTGCTTGCTGTAGGATGTTATGATGGTACAGTCATGGTCTTTGATATTAGACTGAAAGGAAACAATAAGCCTATTTATCAGTCAACTGTGAGAACTAACAAGCATACTGACCCAGTGTGGTAAGTTAGATGGTAAGCCGAAGATGCTACTAAGCAACTAAGTTTCTACTCTATTTCATCAGATGGTAGAGTAACAAGCTGGAACTTAATGAAGAACAAGCTTGAACCTGAGGAAGTAATCAAGCTCAAGCTTGTTATTGATCAAGATAAGGAACTCGTAGAAAACAAAAAGGAGGCCTTTTTATATGGTCTTGCTGGTGGTATGTGTTTCGATTTCAATAAGTTCAATGATCATCTTTTCTTGGTTGGTACTGAAGAGGGTAAGATTCACTTATGTTCAAAGGCATACTCTGGTTAATATCTTGAGACTTATGAAGGTCATTATCTTGCAGTATATGCTGTCAAGTGGAATCATTTCCATCCAAGAGTATTCATCTCTTGTAGTGCTGATTGGACCATTAAGATGTGGGATCAACAAATCAAGAGACCAATAATGACATTCGATCTTGGATGCGCTGTCGGTGACATTGAGTGGGCACCATACTCTTCAACAGGTAATATTATCATCTTGTAAGAATGTTTTTAGTTTTCGCTGCAGTAACATCTGCTGGTAATCTCTATGTTTATGATCTTAAGCAAGAGAAGCATCATCACTTGTGTGAGCACCCAGCTATGAAGAAAGCTAAGGCTCTTCACGTTTCATTCAACTGGGAAGATCCTATTATTTTGGTTGGAGACGAGAGAGGTGGTGTTAACTCCTTCAAACTTTCAAAGTCACTCACAAAGGGACCACTTCAACCTGCCAAGGAAGATGACAAATCAACACCATAGTAGTTGGAGCAAAAGAAAATGGAAGATTTCCTCAATGCCCAAGATAAGGAAGTATATTGATGCAAATTATTTTATGTTAAGAACTTATTTAAAAATCCTATTGGCTAGATATACTCATTAACAATAACTTAGCAAATAACACAAAAAATTTTTATTAATGTTATTTATCAAGTTATCTAATCATCATCTACTCTCGTTACGATACCAGCACATACATCTTTCCTTTAGTTTGAAGCCACACTATTAATGTTAAAAGATTGAAAAATAGTTACTAGTTCATAAAATTTGATGTTATGGTCTGCACAATCTACAATAATTTTATAGCAGTTGTTAAGACAGGAGATCTCTTTCAAAATGTTAATCATTCTGACTCCAAGATTATTACCTCTATAGGTTGAATCTACATTAACGTCTTCAATATGCCCACACTATAAGTATAAAAATACTTCAGTTAATTACAGTGCTTGTATTTCTGATAAACTTTTTCTCAAAGAAGACTGTTCCTGCTCCAATTATATAATCAGCTCTTTTATCAAGTAAAACTATGATCTTATATATTTCTTATCTTTTGGGGAACATCTCATCAAATCTTTTTTCGAAATCCTCTTTTGTTACTTGACCTACTACAGTCAATTGAGATAGCGTATCTAGAAATCCTTTCTCAAAATCATCTCTTCTTAAATGTCTAAATTCAAATTCAGAATCACTTGCTTTTTTAAGTATTTCAGCCTCCATCTTTAGCATATCTGCTGGACTTAGAGTCTTTTGTGAAGAATTGCTTGACTTCATTTTGCAAAATTATAATTTATACCCTAAATCTATTCTTTTATGTCATAAATTCTTGAGCGGGGTTTTGGGGTTTTGGGGTTTTGGGG